TCTATTTACCATTGGGAGTTTGATGTTTGTTTTTGATAATGTAAAATGATAGAAGCCAGCTAATTTGATGGTAGTTCTGAGGAAGACTGGAGTGTTGGTTAAATTACTGTTTTCATGCTTTATATGGGCTTTCTACTTCTGAATAAAACATTTGTTTATTTGTATTTGAATACACAGGAGACTGATGTGCAAAAACTGCAGGACAAACTGAATAGTGGTCACATAGAAGAAGTCATTTTACAGGTAAAACAGGGAATCTTAAGATGAAATACAAAGGGAGCAGTGGTTTTCAGTGTTGCTTTGGCTGAACTTCTGTTCAGATAATTGGCAGTTTTACATATCTTCCTTTGCTGCAAAACAATCAATCCAACAGAAAAAGAAATTGAAAACAAATTGTCATGTAGCGATTGGGATGACCATGCTAAAGCCTAACTCAGTTAACAGTTATTTCTTGAATTATGCTTTCGGAATACCTACGTTGCTTCTTACAGAGTCTAAATCTATGGAAAGGGCAGGAGAGGATTAAATAATATTGGGGCATAATCCAAATAGACTGGAAAATATCATGAAGTTGTCATTGGGAATGTCTAGGTGAACAGACAGGTGTTGGGGGGCGATTCAGTGTTTTTTTAAAGACAAACCCCCAAAACATAAAGTTCCTTTTGATATGTATAGGTGAAATTTGCGGTAGTCTGTGATCATGATAGATAGTGACATCACCGAGACAACTGAAATAGAGCTAATTTAATACTTTAGCAGTTGTATAGAATTTAAGAATTTGTGTATGGTGTTTATTAACAGGCTGAAAATGAGCTTTCCCTGGCAAGAAAAATGATACAGTGGAAACCGTGGGAACCTCTAGTTGAAGAACCTCCTTCTGACCAGTGGAGATGGCCAATATAATTTTCAAAATGGTGTAACCTCTGTAAAACAAAACTTAATTATTAATCTATTGTTACTGACAGTTGTCTTTAAATTAAAGATAATCACTTCATTAAAATATATTTTGTCCTAATGTCCACTTTTATTTAGCAGTTTAGACTCCTTCCAGTTTCTTGCAAGTATGGCTTTAAGAAAATTCTTTTGGCAGTTCTGCAACCTTGGTTTTATTTACTTTTTTTTAGTTTATATTAACAGAGTATTTCTGCCTCACTCTTGAGTTTTTTTATAATTCCTGTCCTGAACTGGCTGACTTTCCTGCCTACATAGCTAAACACTATTTCTGACTCGTGGGAAGTGCTGGGAAGACACAATACTGGAGAGTTGCAGGGGAGAAAGAAGATGATGCCGCAGCAGCAACAGGTTTCTTGGTTAGCAGGTAGGTTACCATACTTGACATAACACCTGTGGCATAAGCTTTAGTATTGAAATCTTCCAAAGGCTTTGTGTAGACATGTATTTTATTGATTCAGATCTTGAGTGTTAAGTGTGAGAGTAAATGGGGAAACACCAGGCTGGCAATCTGTCACTAGTGGAGTTCTGCAGGGCTCCATCTTAGGCCCTGTGCTCTTCAACATCTTCATAAATGACTTGGATGCAGGACTGGAAGAGATACTAAGTAAGTTTGCTGATGGTGCTAAATTGGAAGGATCTGTTGACTCCCTTGAAGGCAGGGAGGCCCTGCAGAGAGACCTCGACAAATTAGAGGACTGGGCAATCACCAACCATATGAAATTTAACAAGGGAAAGTGCTGGATTCTGCACCTGGGATGGGGCAACCTCAGATGTTCATACAGGCTGGGGAATGAGATGCTGGAAGGCAGTGCCGGAAAAGGACTCCTGGTCAATGGCAAGTTGAAGATGAGTCAGCAGTGCCCTTGCAGCCAAGAGGGCCAACCATGTCCTGAGGGGCATCAGGCAAAGCATCACCAGCCAGTCAAGGGATGTGATTTCCCACTCTGCCCTGCATTGGTGAGGCCTCACCTTGAATATTGTGTGCAGTTTTGGGCACTGCAATATAAGAAAGATATTAAGGTATTAGAGTCCAAAGGAGGGCAACGAAGATGGTGAAGGAAGGGCCTTGAAGGGAAGCCGTGGAGCAGCTGAGGTCACTTGGTCTGTTCATCCAGGAGAAGAGCAGACTGAGGGGAGACCTCACTGCAGTTACAACTTCCTTGGGAGGAGGTGGGACAGGCACAGATCTCTTCTCTGTGGTGACCAGTGACAGGACCCAAAGCAATGGCTTGAAGTTGTGTCTGGAGAGGTTTTAGGCTGGATGTTAGAAAGAAGTTCTTCACCAAGAGGGTGGTTGGGTGCTGGAACAGGCTCCCCAGGGCAGTGGTCACAGCACCAAGCCTGACAGAGTTCAAGAAGCATTTGGACAATGCTCTCTGGCACCTGGTGTGGCTCTTGGGGATGGTCCTGTGCAGGGCCTGGAGCTGAACTCGATGATCCTTGTGGGTCACTTTCAACGTAGAATATTTTATGATTCTTCTGAAAACTTTTGTTTAGAGATTTAAGCTTATGAGCCTCAGTTAAAATACGCAAACTAGATCTAAGGGTAGTGTGCAGGTTTGCCTTTACCTATGTTTTTTTTCAGGACCATTAGTAAAGTTCCTGCAAATTTAAAGATAAGAATATAGCTATATTATAAAAATCTGCAGTTTAATAAATATTTATATATGCAATACTTACATTACATAAGGCACTTGTTCATAGCAGTTTTTTTGTAGTCATTAGGCCTGTAATTTTACCTGTGATATCATTATTATAAATGGTTAATTATATATTTATATAAGGTTTCATGCAATTGGTATTGGGGGAGTAGGTCAGTAGAAGAGAAAAACAGTGTATTGACTGCAGCAACTATTTTCACCACATTCTTTATTACTGTTTTTTCCCCCCACCTATTATTATTATAATTACAGAAATTTTTAGATATTTAAAACTGAAAAAGAGGAAAATACTTTGTTTCCTTCGTTGAATTTGAAGGCTTTTTCAGTCTTGACAGAGGTGGAAGCTGGTCTTTTCCTAGATAAAACCACTAGATGGCATTCCAGGAGAAGACTTTTCTAAGGTTAACAAACACAATTTTCACATGAGAAATATTAAAGGATTACAGATTTGAATGAGGGTGAATGGTGTCACACGAGTAATGAAAATTAAACAGGTTTAGGTAATAAGTATTGAACTGACCCGAGAGGAATCAAACAAAAAAAAACCCCAAAGCCTAGTATGAATGATACTGTCATGAAATGATGGAGGTGGGGAGGAAGGAAAGTTGCCTGAAAATGGTGACAACTTTTCAAATTTTTTTTAGTCTCGTAACTCAGTCATTCACTGAACTTTTTCCTTGCTCAGTTATTTTCTCCACTTCTAAAGACATATTTGTCCTGTACCTTAAAACAGCTCTCCTGTAAGCTCATGAATTCTGCTTCAGGAAGAGGAAGTTTTTTTCTTGGCCCACTGCTGCTGAAATTCGCTATCTGGTCTTTTAAAACAGTTTTACTGCTAAAAGTATTCTCTCATCTTCTCCCTTTCACAAGTGCAGGTATACGTCCTCAATACAGGCCCTGATTTATTCCAAGATGAATATGCTAGCAAGGCATAATTTGAAGATGGACTAATCATTTTGCTTGATTTTTCACTTTTAACTCTTAGAAATACATGATGATGCAAAAGATTTTATCATTATCTGTTGTAATGTGGTAAGGTAAATTACTGCAAGCTTTAGGGTTAACTTAGATCTTTAAACACTGTAAGATAATCTAAGTGAAGTCATCATATGAGTGAAAAATCACCTTATATCCAAGGATGGGACCTAATAGAGACAGAACCTGTTAAACCAGAAAAACAACTTTCCCATTGCCAGGTACCAGCAGTACTGAGGTTTCTGTCATTCCTAACCTGCCATCTGTGCTGCTTAACCAAACCTGAGTGGCCGTGTTCTGAACATGACATCATGTTAATCTTTGGCATAATTCTTGATAATGTTCAAAGGAAGATGAGTGAAAGCTGCTTTTTAAAAAATTTATTATTTACAGTTTACAGGATACTTCATTAGAAAAAAAAAGAAAAATCATTGCAACTTGAAGATGAGGTTAAATGTTTAATCCAGTCGACTATTTAATAGTGAAAAAGGGACAGAAATGACAGTATCTTTTTATAGGATTAATGCTGATCCTGTTCTAGCCTGAGTTCAAGTTCAATCCAACTTTTAGAAAAAAGACAATTAGGCAGTAGTAATAAGATCTCAGTAGTCCTTTTGATGGGAAGCAGGCCCATGTTCAGGTGCCTAATAATGTGAAACAAGGTAACAGTGATCATGGTATACTGTTATAGAATATGGATATAAGATCAGTGCCTGCTTAAATACTTTTTTCAGGATTCTCCCAGAATTGCAACACAGAACTGTATATTTCATCTCTGAAACTGTTGTGTGAAGTGACTGCATCCCCTCAGTTTTCCTGTAGCATGCTGAAACATTTGCAAGAGTTGTGTCAGAAATGGCACCTCAAAGGCCAAGAAATTCAGTTTCATATGGTTTTGATTCTGGTTTAAGTGTCTCTAATTTCCAGTTAGCCTGAGTCCTCACACCATAGAGCTTCCAGGATAGAACACCGCTCTTAGGCTGAACCCATCTCACAGGTAGGTGCTGCCACACAGCTGGGAAGTGATGGTGTAGCCGAAGGGCTGGCGACATTCAAATACAACCTGTCATGATATCCAGGAAGCAGTTCTGGGGGTCAGTACTTCTGCTACTATCTACTATCTACTATCTACAGTATAAACTGAAAGTAGAAAGCGTGTTTCCAAACATTAATGCTGCTATAGGCTGGTAAGAGCACATCACCACCCTGCCCTCGGTCACAGCGCAGCCACGGCCCCTGTGTGGGTGGGGTGTGTCGGCACTGGAGCCGCTGCCGCCGGTGCTGCGGGGCCGCCGGGCACCGCTTCCCTTCATTCTTTCGGGCACCCCCGTCCCCGGGCCGTGTGCCCGGCCCGCTCCGCCGTGCGCAGGCTCCTGTGCCCGGGTTGCTGTGGATACCGCTCCGCCGCCGCCGAGGGTGCCGCGCCCGCCCGGGGCGCCGCCGGGGCGGGAGGTTCTGCGGGGCCGCGGGAGGTGCTGCGGGGCCGGGGGGCAGTGGCGGGGCCAGGGCCGGGAGGGTGTGTGGGGGTCCCACCCGTGCGCCGAGCGGCGGCCGCAGCCCCGGCCCTGAGCGCCCCGGGCCAAGGGCCGCCCGTCCGCCCGGGCGGTTGGTTGGGCATCATCCCACAGCTCCTGCCGGGAGCTGCGGCCCCCTGGGTGCCGTTTGTTTGTTTGTTTTTCAGGAATATGGGCTTGGGATTCTTCCAGCCTGTGTCATTTCGGTGGCAGTTCGGAAAACCTTAGAGATGTGCTGTCTCTGGGTTAATGCCCCTACGTTTGATAGACACCTGCCAGAGAGGCGTTTTCTGTTTGGTGGGAGCAAAGACCTAATGCTATTCTCAACAGGCTCTTTGGGAATAGATACAGGAAAAGCTTTTCATGATATTAAGTTACCCATAAATCTGGTAGTAGAAATGGGCTAGTATGCAATTTTTAATAAATCCTGTGATTATTCTTGCAGAAAGGTTTAAACTCTGCAACCAATGCTTTAGGAAATGGAAGATGCGAGTGATAGTCACTCTGAAGTTCCATCGGAAGGGTCAGGTGCAGAGCAACCGCCTGCATCCTCACAGGGAAAAGCAGTCGGAGAGGCTGAGAATGGGGATGTAGCAGAGAAGCCTCTGCTTCCAGAATCTTCAGGCATTGAACAGTCAGAGGAGGGCTGCGAGCAGATGTCTCCTCGGGAGCAGTCAGTTTTGGAGGAACAGGAGCAGTCAAGTTTAGCGCAGTGGGAACAACCTGAAGAAGTGTGGAGGGAAGAACAAACTTCTCAAAACTCAGCACTACGAGAGAATACAGCAAGTGGGACAATGACAGGTAAAGAAGTTATTAAAATGTTGGACATTAGGGGTCTAAAGAGATATTTTTTTATTCAACTTGATTGTGGCTTCTTGCACCCTCCACCCTCTTTCTGTTCATATTTCCTGGGTTTGGGCCCTGAAGTGACTTTTTAAATTCTCAAACGAAACATACTCCAAAGGTAAGGAATGAATTCTTTATCTCAAGCTACAGTAGCAGTTTATAGATGGCATTTTATAGAATGATCCTTATTTCCAGAAACGTGTGTGTATATACACATTTTGTACTTGCATTTAAACAGTTTAAAGTAGATCACAGCAATCACTTACTATTTACAGATTCCTCTGTATCTTACCTGTCAACTTCTGTTATCCATGCCTTTCTTCTGCAGTCCCCTAAATGCTGTATCATTTCCTCCACCTGTTCCTCTGTGTTCTGAGTGTCTTTTGTCACTTCCTCTTCCCAATTCAGCACCCCATTTTCTTAGTTCTTCAGAGCAGAAGGCAGCACATCCTGTTCAGTAGGTGAGCACAGTGAATAATCTTGCAGAGTATGGACCTGTTGCCTGTCTTGCTCTTGTCTGGGCACCATTTGAATGCTTTCATTCTAAATAGTTGACTTTATGTATTACATTATATATCTCTTTTAAAATTGTATGATAATACTGCTTCATCTTTCAAGTAGACTGCCTTTCCAGCTCAAAAAACTATGATTATTTTGTGTTGTGGTATTTCAATAAAATCATCCTGGGCTAAACCAGGAGTGATTTTACTTGTTTGTTTTGAGAAGCTGATCAGGAATTAATTTTGGTTTTATTTTTAGAAAGCATGATTGAGGATAATAAAACACTTAGGAGGACTGGGCCTAACTTTGAGAAAACTGTGCAGTCTGAGAATCAGCAACATTTTCCTGGGCAAGTCATTCAACAGGATTACCACATGCCTGATGTCATAACTGTCAGAGTACACACAGGTAAATGCTGTTTTTGCATATGTATCAATATATAAATTCTGCTCTAGTTTCAGTGTGTTACTAAAAGAAACAGTATTTCTATTTTGGAACTTCTGTTTTAACAGATTCTGATTCATTCCAAGAAGTAGTTGTAAAAATTGAAAGACCTACCAATAATAAACCTTTTCTGGGTGGATTTAGGAACATAAGAACAGGAGTGGAATTTCATAATGCAGGATCACAAACAAGATGCATAAAACGACCTAACAAAGGAACTCAGTCATTTTGTAGGGAAACACAGGTAATGGTTTTGTATTGTCTTTTTAGAATGTTGGTTATGCCAAATGGAATAGAAGGTTGACACTATTTCTGATAGAAAAGAGGAAGTAGATCAGAAATAAGCATGCAAATGGAAATATTTAGTGGATAAATATTATTTTTGTGATTCCTATTACAAAAAGCTAATTTTACCACTTTTTGTAATGAGGCATAAAATCTCTGTGTAATTTTCTTATAATCTGACATGCAATTTTTTCCCCAGACGGTTTGGGAAAAAAATAAACCGCAACAAACAAGAAATACGGCATCAACACAGATGACTAAAATTGGTCTTTATGTGTCAAACATGACTGATAAACTAATAAGTCCTGGAAAGTATTTTACAGCAGAAGAATATCATAAACGTAGACTTGAAGCGGTAAGTCCTTATCTGTTTGAAACTATCTGTAAAGCAATGTATTACAAAGGTTGTCTGAATATTTGAAGAGTATTCAGAGTGTTCAAAGATTGTGAAGTGAACTGTATAATGTCTCATCTTCATGTTTTGAAATATTTCAGATATAGGGGAAGCCCTGTTTTTGCTCTGTGGTTTTAGTGACATTTGACACCTTGTGACTTCTTAAATATTAAGAATTCTGAATTTATTGTTTTCTGTCTTACACTGACAGTTACGTTTCCATATAGACTATTAGGGATTAAACAGGCTTGTCCCTACAGCATTCTCATAATCGCTTTGGAAGAACCTAAGGTACTTGCTTAATGTATGGCCTGCAATGGATGGAGTATTGGGTTAGGATTTACGAGATCTGCATCCAGCTTTTGGGTTTTGTATTCTCTGTTTGTTTGTTTAACACTCTTGGTAGGTTTCCTTGGGCAAACGGATCTATTTTGGATTCTGTTCAAGGTCTCTCCTTTGACATTAAGGTAGAACTGGGCCGTTCAAATACGTACAGTGTCTCTATGGGGTTTTCTAACACGCTGAAGTGCCTTATGCCAGCAATTCTGATTACGGATTCTGTATATTCATTGTGCAGAGGATACCATTTAGGCATTTTGAGTTCCTTATTGGAAACCATGTATCCAGTGACTGCACATGTAATTCAAGTACACTCTAAATTGTGTTAGGTGTGACACTGCTTTGTAAATGCTCTAGTTATTTTTTTGATTGCTTAAAATAGGCTATCTGAATCTAACTGAATGGACAGACAGTTGATTCTCCAAGTTTCTAAGTAGGATAGTTGTACTGATAATTGTCTTGAACATGGTTGCCAAGATCTTTGAAATATTCTGGGTAGAAGTTTTCTGTAAAAACTTTTTGAATCAGTCAGCATCAGCTGATGGCAATAAGCATCTTTTGAAGTAGAAACTAAATAGGTAATCATTTCCTCAGGGCTACCAATATGTCTTACTATGATCTTTAGTGCCACTTACTGAAATCTAGAATGTATCTCTTAAGTAATTTATAGGGCACAGTAGAGAGACATCAACCTGGTGTTTATTCAAGTTGATGGATTTGCACAGTGCAGTCTAGGTCCATATCGAAATCTGAAGACATATTCAAGAGAAGTGTTGGGTTAAGATATCACTAGAGACAGTGTAACTGCATTAGTATAATATTGTGCCTGTTAGCTTTCATGCTGTAGCTCGTGGTGTTGATCTAACTAAACTGACTGTAGTGCAAGCACTAACTCAGCTGGCAGAGGGTGAGGCTTGTGCATTATCCTCTCTCGATGTACTGTAGACATTTCCCTAGTCTTCAATGCCCACAACTTGGGAAGGTAGATGATTTAATTTTCTTAAGTTCTGTCATAACAGCATTAGTAATTTCACTTCCATTATTTGTTTACAAATAAAATGCAGTTGATTTTGTTTGTATGTTGATTTTTGTATCTAGGAATCTAAAAGAAACTTTGCAAATATGTGTCTACGTTCCCACTATGTAAACTGATGGTAAGATGAGGTAGAGAAAGAAATAAAAGCAATACATGACAAAAGACATTTTTTAAGGGGAGATTTGAAAAAGAAAAATGGATATTTAAATGTAGTTTATGTTTTGACTTGATTTTATGAACCTAGTTTATCCACTGTACTCACTGGTTAGACTCTGGCAGTTACCTAAATGAGTAAGCATGCTGGTGCTTAAACTAGTAGTACATGACTGATTTTGTAACATTTATACTAGTTTCAGTACAAGACAAATCTTAGAAAATATAGTTAGGCATCTACAAAAAAAAGACAGTTGAGAACAAAATATTATGCTGTTTTGTTTTAAATTCACAGTTCTTTGGTGTTGTATCACATCTATTTTGCTTTAAATTCACAATTCTTTGGTATGGTATCTCATATAGGTAATAGTATTGCAGAAATATTTCCGTCGTTGGCATGCGATAAATGTAGTACAAAATCTGAGGGAACAGAAGAAGTTAAGGCTGGCATGGGAGGCACAGGAAGAATTACGGAAAAAAAAGGAGAAAGAAGAGAAATTTAGAAGGGAGTATGAGCGAAAACTGAACCCCAGAACAAAAGAAGACTTTGAGCTACTGTATCATGACTTGGAATGTAAGTTTTCTTAAAGAGATATGATTAAATCAGCAAAATATTACAGTTTGTTTAAAGCAAACTTATGTTTTTTAAATGTTTCTATAGATATTTCTATGATTTTTTCCCACTTCCAGTGAAATTTCTTTAATTTTAAAATTATTATTTTCGTATATTACTAGAAACATAAAAAAGGCCTTGATGCTGTGTAAGCACTGTTCAGCAATAACTAACTAACTAAACATCCTTGTGTTATTAACATCCAGAGCGTAGCACCTTACAAACTACTACTAAGAAAATTGATTCTTTTCTCTCCAAAACCAGTACAGCTTATTAGGAATAATCAGCTTGTAGAATAGTGCTTTTTGGCAGTTCTTTTAATTTTTTCTTTTTGGTTTATGTCTGATGGTAAGGTCACCTGGAGGAACAGAAGTTTTTTTTAAAATCAGACTTGATTGGTCTTTTACTCTGCATTTAAGATGCTGAAAATAATTCCATGAAGAAATTAGTATTAAGATATATATATATATATATATATATCATAATTTGATAAGACTTTTTTTAAAGGATTAAATTTTTGCATGGAATTTTGCAACATATGTCGGAAGTAATTCCTTTTGTCCTAGCCATCTTCTACTGATGCTTTTTCTCCTCTCTAATTCATTCCATGTTTCACAAAACTGTGTTGTCAAAATTTTAAAAATCTCCTAGGAGTCCTACAGGACATCCTAAAAGTCATATTTTTTCCTGTTCCTGGAGTAGATGTCTAATACAGGCAAGTACCTCTAAACTTTTCCAGAAAAAGTAATGCAAATGCTGCAGATAATTGATATAAAGCCTTACAGGAAACTACTGTTGCAAATGGAACAAAAAGACGAGAGTATGTCCTTTTAGAAAAAATAAAAACAATCTGAAGCAGTAGATTTGTACCAGTCTATAACGAAATGGCAAATTTTTATTTTTTTTTTTTTTCCCCAATGACTCTTATAAAGCAAGAGTCTCGCACTGTGACTTGTAACAACTCTCATGTTATCTAGGCTACAGTGCTTTCTTATGGTCTAGCTCTCTGGCAGTTTGGTTACTGTTGTCCCTGTAGCAGAACTGACCTAATGCATTACCTACTTCATTGCAAACCCACCTGCCCTACTTTAAACCATCTCAGCTCTTGTCAGTGTTAAACTGAGCATAAATTTGATGGCATGTGTTATTCATAGAGCTTAAGATCATGATCCAAGAATTCCCAAGTTATACACTAATCTTTTTATGCTGTTATACTTTGTGTGGCATTGAACAAATAGCTTTGTCGGAATGAATAAATGACTTATAAATATCACTGCTTGTGACAAATGTAAAAATTACTGCTTGTCTTGAACTTTAGAATTGTGGGAATGGTATGTTCATGAGACTTGTGTCTAGCTTGGAGTTTTCCCCCCCCACCCCTTTTTCTGAGTAGATAGTTAGCTTTTCACTTCACAAGAATCATGCCCTTTTAAAAGTGTGACCAACTAGGTAATCCAAAACCAGGTTACTCAAATAATAGTTTTTCCATACCACTTATGACAAGACTTAATATTTGGCATCTAATTTCCTGTAATATTTTCTTTGCAAAGCTGCTTCATAACTAATGTATGATCCACTTTTTTTTTTTTTTTTTTTTTAAGTGTGAAGTGTCTTATTTGCAGTAAAAACAACAAAGCTGAGTTAAAGTTATGGAAGAGTGCTAGTACAAAACTTTTAGATTAGAAACTTATGGTTATGTAAGTGTCTCTTGCTAATTTAATGCCTTTGGATTCACAGAAAACAAAACTTTCACCAACACATATTCAGGAATTTCATATCTAGGCAACCTGAAAAAAACATGTCCCTCTTCAAAACAGAACAGAGCAAACTCCAGTATTTGAAATGTCTTTTTAACATTTTGTTAAAAATAATTGTCTGGTATGAGTCTTATTGTTTTGGTTTTGTTTACTGGCATAGACTAGTTGCTTCTCTACATGGGGATTTGCAGTTACACTCTTCATTTTAATAGGCCTTAATGGTTCTAGGAAGTTGGGATTTTTTTCCTACCTGCATTTGAAACTACTTTTACTTTCTTATAGTGCCAACAGTCTACACAAGCTAGATCATAGTGATGGTAATAGAATGAGACTATTGTCCTCCAGGGATCTGTGAAGGTTATTGCTGCTGATCACAACAGGTGTACTATTACAGGATCAGCTTGTACAAGCAATTCCCGGTGGTACAAAAACTTGCCTGGTGGCTATATGGTGCAAATGAGATGTATCTGTATATTCAGTTTGTCTGCATATAAGCATTCATTATTTTAAAAGTATGAACTGTGTTTTATAAAAACTGGAATAATAAGTAAAATATAATTAGTAAAATCTCCATCTATAGAACACATAATCTAAGAGGAATATTTTAACTTGGTTGCATGTATGTGTGTAATCATGAGCTGATAATCGATAACTGAGAGCTTCTTAATTTCTGAAAGTATAAAATTGCTTACTGTATTTATTACCTCTACTTTAGGGGTTGCTGCCCCCTTCAGGCATATAAAGCTTCATATCAATTAATTCTATATAATGCTTTTGCTTGCTGAAATGGCTTTATTTAAGAATATATCTTTGCATTCTCAGAACTTGTCAGACAGCTGTCATATTAATACCACAGCTTGGAGAGCCTAAAGGAAATGATTTGAAATATATAAAATTGGAAAACATAAGGTATTGTAGATAAGAAAACCTCAGGCAGAAAATAAACCTTCTTCCTTTCCCTCGTCCTGCCTCTAATCTCACCTGATCCAGGATGTTGTAGGCTTCTTCAGTGCACCACATGTTGGTTTGTTTTATTTTACACTGGATTTTGCTTTTGAATAACTGTTCTGGGATGTTAGCGACACTTTGGGATATTATTCAGAAATGTTGCTGGTTTGGATTTTAGAAAATTCTTTACAAAACTCCAGAGATATTTGAACTGGATCAGGCTCTTCAGAAAAGCCAAGCATTGTTACAGCATATGCAAAGGTAGACCCTGTTCAGTAAACACAGTTTGGTTTTACTAACAGATTTCTCTAAGACCGTGTAGTCTGTGTATCAGCAGCATGAGTCAGAAGGCCAGATTCTTATACAGCGTGTACTGATCTGTGTGCTGCTGTCATGACCATCCGTGGCTTCCATGCCACTTCTTGCCACACTTGAAGGGTTATGTTGTAGAAGAGGAAAGGGAGAGTAAGGCCATGACTTTCTAATAATTATTGCACATCCATCCACTGCAATATTCAGTGTAAGGCCTGGAGTGCTAAATGTGGCTGTCAGTCAAGTTTTATCTCAGTTTTGAAGGACTTCAAGCTTCTTTAGTAAAGATTTTACTCATTTATGCAGGGAGAAGCAGGAATATTCTCAGCACTGAGTACTAGTGGTGCCACAGTAAAATGCAGTCTTTAATTTATTGAGGTCTCCATGGTACCTTTTTTGTAACTTTGATGAGAAATTGTTTAAGAAGTTCATATTGCTCATACCTTTTGGAGCTGTTTGAATATCAAACAGTTATTTTTAGATGCAAAATCTGAAGCAATCATTTCATCACACATTTCCACAGGAGCTAAATTCTTTTTCTCACATAGAGGTTCTTTTTCTTGTACCCATCCCTGAGTTTGGAGTACAAATTGGCAGTCTGGAATTGATGTACACACACATACTCTGACAGAACATCTGTATCATTTGCATTCATTTCTGGGCCATTTTACATGGATTGAAAATATACATAAGAATCAATTCCCTAGCATAGAAGCTGGCTTTTGGTGAATATTAAAAATCAATTATATTATTTCTTACATATGAAAACAGAAGTTTCACTGGAAAGTATCTTGTAACAAATACCCAGAATATTTGTATCTGCAGTGTGGATGCAGGAGGAGACTGAGCGGATTAACAGAACTCTTACTGGAGCTGAAAGAAAGGCAGCGCTTTGTGCACTTCTGGAACAAGAGGCACAACTCATTGCTTGCTTTGAGAGACACAAATTAAATGCCAATGAGGAGAATCAACACAAAGCAGTACTGCACCTTCTGGATAAGGTCGGTCATTAGGCTGATAATTTTAGGCTGAACGTAAAGAAGAAAATACACCTGTAAAGCACCAAAAGTAAATTTCGCAGTTTTTGACGGTTAATCATGTCAATGCTAATGTTACTAATATCCAAATTATGTAGTTATTCATGTCAATACAATTCAGTAAATTTCTTTTTCCAAGCTGAGAATTTTTTAGCTCTCTGACTGATTGAAGGATTAACAGTGCATCATTGAAACTGTTAACCATAAAAAATATAAATAATAAATATAAAACTAGAGCCCTGGATGGATGGATTTTATATTATGTAACTATTTTGCATGAAGAACATGATTCTGATGGTACTGCTAACAGTATTAAAGGCTCAAAGTATAATAGTTGAGAGTGGTTCATTTGAGGTTAAAAACGGTCAGGATCTTGCATACCATTCTATATTTTGTATTGTGTGCATTATAGTGCTGAAGGAAACCTGTTAGCTTCTCCTTCAAAAATACTCAATTTCACTAATCAAAAGTAATGACTAAATGTTTTTCTCACTGATGTGTTCTGTTCATTGTTCTCTATAATGAAAAGTTTGCTATTTAATTTAAAATTAAATGCAAATGTTTAAGTAAGTACTTGTAAAATTAACCCTGCAGAATGGATTAATAGATTTTTTTTTTTTAGTTCTTCCCTTGGAAATTTTATCCCCCAGGAAGTAAATTTGTCATAATTTCCCAGTTGAACACAGGCCTCTTGTCATCATGTCTGCCTTTAAAGAAAACATTTATTCTCTTTTCATGTACAAAAAAGAACTTTGAATAAGTCTTATAGTGAACTCAGTTATTAATTCACTAGTTTCAGTTTCATTAGACTTGAGATTTTGTTCTTATATAATCTTGGGGATGATATTTGAAGCAAGTGTTCTTCAGGCTTTACTCTATAAACCAAATATGAGAATTGCTCCAGTCACCAAGTGATTTAGTATGGCATTACATTCAATGGCACCTTAATGTAAAATACAAAAAACCCAGTCCTTTTTAGGTAGATGTTCAGCAATCTGTCCCCTCAGAAAAAAAAAAAAATTCTGTCTGTTTTCATAGTATTGTGACATGATTATGAAAATAAATACTGCAGCTGAAATGGCGTTTATCTAGGTTTTTATTTTTTTTTTTAAATTTTGACTATTTAGTGATCAAAAGCGAAAGTAGTAATTTTATCCAAAAGAGACTTTTTTCATTCTTTTTATTACTGATGCAGGGGAACCATATTGTAAAAAATGATGTGATAAAATATATTACATTTTTAATTATGAACAAATTGTTTATCTGAAAAGTTGGTGGGATGTTACCAAGTTTATTGCTGTGGTGGATGGAGGTTTTTAAAAAGAGATTGGATGTGGCCCTTAGTGCCATGATATAGTAATTGGAGTTGGATCAGGGGTTGGACTTGATCTTGGAGGTCTTTTCCAACCCAGTCTATTCTATGATTCTATGATTCTCTTTTGTATTACTGCTTTCAAGAATGCAAAAAAGCTCAGAAAACTAAATAGTTGGGAATGATATCAAAACCTTGAATTATTTCTGTGTTAAATGCTTGCTGCTACTACTTACAATATATTGTTTTCTTCAAAGAAAAAGAAGCCTGGAACAATCAAAGCAAATACATTTCTCTCTTAACTGACTGTCATTATTTTTTCCTTAAGGACTGCTTTCCAATGTCCTACCACATACAGTTTACTTCTAGTATATATTTTGACAAGTTTTACAGTTTTCTCACATCTAGAATCAGAATAAAAATGTTTTTCAGTACCAGAATTCTTAGTGACAGTGGATGCTGGAGATTCAGGAGACACATCAGAGACAAAAGATACTCCCTCTTTCCAAACAGTGGACATATTTCTGAAGCAGTAATAATTTATTTATTCATATTTTAAATCTAAAAATTATATTTTTCCTTAAAGAGACTGTATTTTTTTTCTTTTGAAAATCTAATGAGCTTCTAAATTACTACGACTTTTCATTTTTTTTATCATGTGAGCTATGATGACAGTGTTGTTCTAAACTGCTAGATAGCAGCCGAACTCAGCAGTAGAAAAGTAATAATTTCTGCTTTAAAAAAAAATAAATGCAATTTTGGAAATCTCAAAATTAAATGGCTGGTTTGCTATGTGTGTGAAAGTACAACTGAAGCACTTGAAATTGCAGTATGAAGTTTATTATTGGGGTGCTAGATTGTGGATTATTCACTTATTTCTTGGATTTTTTGCGGATAATGTTAATCTGGACACTTGTCATTTAAAGCTGAAATAACACCTTTCACATCTGAAGACTGCAAGCTGCAATAGCCAGTGTGATATGAAACTTGCTTCTCCATGGAAACCTTTGTTCCCCTCTTTGCTCCTTTAAGCATGTACCTCGGCAGGCATGTGTGCTTTTACAAAGGTTGCTACTGGTTGTGTGTGCATTACATTCTAGGGGCTTCTCTTTTATGCTGAGCTTGTTCTTCTTCAGCATTTCTACTTTGAAAAGGAAGTATTTGATTAGGCTTTTGTACAGCAATCCTATTTCCTTAAAGGAATTTATGTAATTATTAACTATCACTCAGTTCATACCCTTCATGCTTTTGCTGTTTCTCCACACATTCTGTGGATTTTTTTTATTTTACTTACCTTTTTCTGTCTATGACTGTAGTGGTGTGTTTCTCTCCTCAGGCGCTTTTTCTGCTTTCATGCATTGGCAGCAGAGTGCAGTTATAGTAGCCTTGCTTTCTAAAGTAATACAGATAACAGAATTATTGCAAATTTCACAGCACTGCCAGCAGGCTGAAAGACAAGAAAAAGCTGGCAGATCTTGGAGTTTTAGTTTTTCTCACATCAGACTTAGTACAGAAAAATAGTCCTGAAATCAGAAAGTTTCGGATTCTTTCTAAAACATAGGAAATCTTCATATTGATGGGACCTCTGGGTTTTTTCAGTAAAAAGCTGCATTTTTGAAAAGTATGTTTTATTTTATACAATACCCAGCTATAATGAGATACTAAGGAAAATTACAGAAGTTACAGATATATCTTTGAAGAATTAGTTATCATAATATAGTTGGTCTGTGTTAAAGATCATTTGCAGAGTGGGAGACCAAGACTGCTTACATATATTTGGATTTGCAAATTTATCAGAAGAATCTAGTTTTAGTAACTATTTTCTAGAGTGAACTCTGCTCATTGATTCTCCCTAACATAAGGAAATGACCTTTCTCTCTTACTATAAGTGATTTCACTGAAGAGGTTCAAATGTAGATACTGAATCAACTTCTATGTGGCAAGCAGTGTTTTTTCCCAGTCTAGCATACAAAGGAGTGACAGCACTAAGTTGGTTGGAGTTTTCTTGTTGGCTTGCTTGTGTGGGGGGTGGTTTTTTTTTGTTTGTTTGTTTGTTTTAAAGAATTTCTAGTACTGCATAAAGATAGTGAAACAAAGTAATGAAGTTACAGTAGAATGCTCCCTACTTATGACAGAGAGAGAATCACATCTTTCTAGTTTTGCAGAAATTCAAAGATTTCATTAAGGAATTAAGAGTTGCTTTGTTTTTTTTCTTTTTACTGTCTGGTTTTACTATTGGATTTCTTAGTCAGTTTTGGTTCTAAATTGTGATCTCTGATTAACAATACCCCCTTTAACTAGAGTTCTGCCCCCACTGATAATGTAATTAATTGTCAGTTATTCAGTGTTAAATCCTTTTTTTCAGTTATTTTGTCTTTCATTTGCTTACCTAACTTTATAATTTATTTCTTTAAAAATGGAGAAAAGTCTATTTTAATTGTGGTGATGACTAATCATATCTGTTCTAAATATCTAATATTTATGGTAGTTTTATGATTTAGCACCATAGCAAGCCTATGTGATCAAAATAATCATTGCATCAGTGCTGGGGTCATATCCAGAAAACTGCTAATCGTGTGAATGCTGCATGAAGTGTTGCTGTTGTTAACTCACGCTGAGACTGCAGGGTGAAGATCTTGAGTGTTTGTGAACACTCAAGTTCCAAATGTAGGGAAAGAGAATAATGAATACACAGAATGAGGTTTCAAATACCTGTCCCAATTAAGGAAAAAAATTGAATTAGGTGATGATGGGGAGAGGGTTTTGAAAACGCTTTTTCTGTTAGAATTGGATACCTCTCTCCTTATGTAACAGTGTGATTTGCAACCAAACCCAGTCTTCTGGAAAAAGAATGGTTGGACTTTTCAAACAAATTGGGGCAGCTGACATCATGTAACTTCTCACTGTCTCTAAAAGTCGAAGATATGCAAAGAGAGAAATGAAGCATAAAGGTATATGGCATGTAGTTACATTTGGAAACAAGAAGCTAGGTGAAGTATCTGATAAGCTGTCAACTCATGCCTTGTCTTAGCTTTAACAAAGTCTATGTCTTCTATCTCTGCAATAGCATAAATAGAATAGTTCCCTGGAGATATTTTGTACTGCAGTAGACTCTAAGGTCTTAAATTTGCAGTCTTTACACAGTCAACTGACCCACTGATTTTTACTGATATTTTGGAGGGATTTATAACTGCCAGGTGAAATATGGAGCAAATGTATTCTAACACTGCTGTCAGTAAATTCATTTTTAAAGAGGTAGAGCATATCCCTGTAGAAGAATACTATTTACTTCTAACATACTGTAAGTCAAAATTTTTATGGCCTGCAACTTCAAATAAAGTGTGCAATGGAATGTTTGCTCTGGTGGAAGAGATTCTGTATCAACACTAGAATTAGCCTTTTGCACTAATCAAGCATTAATGTTAAGTCCCTACTTGCTCTGATGAAACTTGATGTAACATAATGCACTTGTTCACCTGGTGGTCAGATTATAATAGCTCAGAGTTCTACTAATTGTTTCTGCAGTGTGCACAACCTAAGAGATGGAAAGCATTTGATGGAAAAATCACTGAAATGGACACACAGGATACACTCCGTGCCAGAGAACTACTTGAAATCTACCGCAGCATTAGCGCAAAAGACATCCCAAAAGATGAGAGAACAGATGTGCTTTTAACACTCAGATGTACAGTGAAGGTATGTTTTATTTTTCTGTTTATGTTTATCTTGAAGTTGTGCTTCCCAAGGATACTGTCACTTAATTATGTTGGTGCACAAGCAATGCTGCTTCTGGCAGATGGGTGCCACAATGATCAGCTGGCAGCAAGAGAGCCTAGTGTACTATCTGGCATGAGAGCATAATTTACATTCCAGATATACTCAGAATTCATATTTCACTTTGTTATGTGTGCATTTTTCTTCAAGTCTGTTAGAATTTTAGCCCTGTGGTTTTAGACTTTTTGGTATCTTAACACACAATACAATTTTAGTTTAATTACTTATAGCAACCTTATGAGAACCATGGCAGAAATGTACGTGGCTATTGCCATTTATTTTTTCTAAGTTTTTTGAAATGCCTGTTTAGAACCTATCTCTCTGTTGGTTTGGATTACCAGTTTTAGGAGTAACAAATACTGATTTTTTTTCTTCTTCTCTTTATCCCTCATTTCCCACCCTCACTGCTGCTGCCAGTGTTCCAAATGAATTAGAAACTGGTTGCATTTCTTGTAGTCTTTCATATTTGTTTTTTTTATTTCACATACAAAAAGAATGAGTTTTAAGGTCCTTTTAGGATGATTCTGTTGACATCAGTCTAGAATAGAATGCTGCTTCCTGGTCTTATTAAAACAAGCAAACATCTTGCTGTTTGCTTTAGTAATGCCAGTATTTGATCTAAAGTCAATATGGCACTGAGAGCACTGCTGGTTTATGAACTCCTGCCCATCTTAATATTAGTCAATATTGCTGTAGTGAACAAGTGAATTTCTGTAAATTAGCACTTTCTTCTACCTGAGAAAAATTGAACTCATTCACCTCTTATCTCTCTCTCAGAAGGATCTCCTGACAAGCATTTGAAATATTAAAATGACTAATTTTTAGGTATCCTCTCAGTTTCCCATGCCTTTCATGTGGTGGATTTTTTTTTTCTGTGGCTTTTTTTTTTTTTTCAAACTATCTTCATTACACCTCTAAGCACATAAAAAGAAGCTTCTTAGGAAGATACTTATTTGGGCTTTTGGAGATTGAAAATTTTGCATATATTGTGTATCTCTGCTAAGCATTTTTTAGTGCCTCCATACTTACAGTGCCTTACAGCTTTGATATATATATATTTATGTATACAGGCCTCTTAAAACAGAATCTGTAAGCATTCTCACTTTTGTAGTTCTTCACATTAATTTGATTGGAGATGGTTTCCCTGAGACATGAATTCTGTGAACGTGCTCTTACGTGAACATACAGAAGTGTGAATGATAATGGGCATAGAATCCACAGTTTGCTTTCATATATGCATTGAATTATTTTGTTTGGTTTTTTTGCTTCTTTATTGTTGTGAATTTTGTTTTTCTTTTTCTTTACTTTTTTTTTTTTCCAGGAACATGAATGTAAATTAACACAGGAAATAGTGGAACTAATTGACAGAGAAGTTGATCTTATATCAAGAGAGGTGAAAGAATGCAACTTAGAAGGACTGAGGAAAAGAATTTGTACATTGTTTCTTCAGTATATTAAAATTCCAAAGGTTAACCCTCGCGTTGTTGGGTTACTTAAGGTATTATCCTCATTTTGCAGCCTGACATAGTGGCCATTGAAATAAGGAGAAGGGGAATGGAAAACATCGAAAGCTTTTTTATTTCACATTTTGCTGTGGGATTGGTGGAGGAGTTCCTCAAGAAGTAAAATACAGCAAGTACACAGGCTTCACACAAATAAGCTTATATAGTCGTACAGGAAGCATGGGACATGGACACGGTTATAAGAACCTGACAAGTGGCTACTACTACTGAGAAAGCTCAGGAACTCTTGTGTTGAAATAACAAATCTGAAAATTATAAATGGTAGATGTTATGGGATGGTATCAGTAAAATTTAATAGCAAAGGGGTACCAATAGATAGAGCAATTCATGTTTCTTCCGCTGGTCAAGGGGCATCATGCCATGCCTCCAGAAAGGAAGAATATGTCAAAGTGATGTCTAATGACTTGCACCTAAGCAAGAACTTTTAAGGGCTTCTGTTGCACAATCAGTTGCTACTGTGTGAGAAGATGTACTTAGATTTGTGTGGTTGTTTTTCTGTTCTGACTACAGATTACAATGAAAAATATGATTCACTATCATATGTTGCTGCTATAAGTAGCAACACCTGTTCTGCACCTATCATAAGAGGATTCCTTGTACAGGGGTTTATGGTATCTTAGGAGCATAGAATCTGTCAGTAAATGTTAGTCAGAATTTAGAACCAACACACATTTTTTTTACACTATGTTTATTAGCAGGGCTATTTATGTGTGTAATAGCAGAGACTGAAGATTATCTGACTATTTAGACTATCCAGTTACAGGCTTGGACCCTCTGCACAGACTACATTATATTCTTTCCACAATCCATGAAGGAATATGACAATGAGTTTAGTTTAGTTTATTATCTTCCCCTATGTTGTTTTTGGACATGTGGCTCTGATGATTTGGTATTCTTATACCAGAATATTAATACGCCCATAATCACAGGGTTTTATCTTTGACATAAAGGGCAGATTCTACATGAAAAATTAAATGCAGAAAATGTAGTTTCTGGTTTTTTCTGTGTTGTCATCTTTCCAGAATGGCTGACAATCTGCACACCTAAAAGTGCCAGCAAGAACACCGGAGCATGATGTTTAGGATCTTCGTATAGCTTAAAAATGAATTGACTGATTTATATAACTAATTTTAACATGTACAATAAGAAAACGTAGTGGCTTTTGGTATCCTCTCTAAGAAAAATCACACCACCTTGTTGGGTATTTTCAAAAATAAATATTACTAGCTTTTACATATTAGAATACTTGCATGAAGATATGCAAAATGTATTCTGACAGACTGTGACACACAAGTAATACAAAGATACTTTGTGGTGAATTTTTTTTTTTTTAATTTTTAGGTTCCACAAGATCCTTTAAAGCTTTATAAAAATGTTTACTTCTGCCATAGCTGTGAAAATTACTTACCATCTACTGAGTTTGTTATTCCTGCTAATTCCCACACCATTGGCAGATGTCGCTCATGTTACAAGCTTGATAATGAGGCTCGGCAACGAGAATCATATTTGAAGTACAGACTTATACTAGAAAATCTCAGGAAATCTGAAGCTGATTATCAAGATGACAGTAAAATTGTTTTCTTAGTTCAGGTACTGTTGGAAAGAGCATTGCTAATAATGGAAAACAGTGGCTTTGACTATTTGTCCTTTATTTCGTGTATGTTGTTGACAGTTTGAGAAATAGGCTAAAAGCTACAACTTCCTGTGATATGGGGCATTCCATACCATGAAGAGCAGCCCTTAAGCTCTTGAAGCACAGTTGAAAGCTGAATTGCACCTCCTGAGCCCCGTTATTTGCACTGTTTTAGTAACACAACTGAATTGTTTTGTGTTGTCAGATGGAAAAAAAAAAGTAAAGGAACTTAGGTTTTGACATTCCTGCTCTTTGTCAGTAGAATATCTGTATGGTTGGAAGTTTTACTGTGTGCATTCATTAGGGGATAGATTCACTACATATTTTAATTTTCTGTGGTTTTTACCATCTTCTTTAATATGTTGCAATATTACTAAGCAGGTGATGCTTCCTAATAATCATTACTGGAACAGGTCCATTTAAAAAAAATCACCTGTCTTCAGCAAAATCTCTATTTTAGTTGTTATTAGGTCAGCAAATGAATTTGACATCCAATATCCACTGAGAAAGTTTTGAATATTAGATATTTGCAAAGTATTATTTATTGAAAATATTTCACAGCCAGGATTTATTTGACCTTTCTGAGATTTAGCAAGAGAAGTCTCTACCGTATCAACATTCATAGAATAATCTTTGAACTATATTTTCAGTATGTTTGAAACGACAACCAAGCAATCACAAGCCAGTCATCAGTATCCCACTGCTACCAAAACAAGCCATGCTGTGGTTTAGCACTTTACAAATGTGCAGCCAAAAGGAAGCTTGGAATTTCTTAATTATCATGCCTGAGTTAAGAAATAGTCTCAAAAACCCCTGGATTTTGTAGATGTTGTTTGTCCATACTGGTTTTCACCATAGCTGAAAAGTTTTTTGTCCCTGTCTAATTTAGTTCATCTTAATATGTAAACATCCTTCAAAATCTCTCACAGCACTTGTGATGGCTGGTGGGCACTGATGCACTGAAACATGACTGCTTCTTAACTGCTGAGACCGTAAGCCCTCTCTTGCAGTTCCATTTGTGACTGTATCATTGCAACATCTCTAGATATTGTGTAATTTCCCTCCAAATTAACTTATTTTCTCTAGAGTTGTAAGTATCACTGATTTCCTAGGTTTTTTTCCTAACATTTCCTTAAACTACTAGAATTTCTTCTGAGCTACTCACCTTTTCTTTTTCCCTTTCCCTGCCAACAACCCTGTCCCCTTCTGCACTTATATCCAGAAAAGAGCTCTGGGACACCTAGAAATGAATTGGGCACAGCTAAAAGTCTTTTGCAGCAGCTGAGACTGCTTCATTCATTGTGCAGTGCAGCATCATTTAGAGATGATACAAGAAAAATGCAATTGTGAGTTGCTACACCATGCTAAAAGTAGATGTATATGTCTATATGAGACATGCTTCTTCCTTCTTAACCCTGTTTTTAATTTCAGCTTCCAGATCTGCAGTACATGATTGAGAACATATGGAACTGTCAGTCAGCTCTCAGTGCTTGGGGTGAACTGTATGATTTGGTTATGGTCAGATGGGATAAGCAGCGTGAGTGGTCTCCATGGAACACTATTCTCCTCACTAAAGAAGAGGCAGATGTACATCTTAAGCTGTGTAATCTTCAGGAGGTAAAACTTGATGGGCTTGATTTTTTACAATATTTATGTTATGTTTTAATAGAATCTTGTGACTAATTAGTTTGACCAAATTTAGTAATTACAGTTGTTCAGGTTTAAATTGGCTCATAGTGACTATTTAAGTGATTACATCTGTACTATTAAACAACATGGACATTAATCCAGAAGGCATTTGGCATGTACCACTCATTCCATGCACTTGAACTCTGTCTTGCCCTGATTCTCCCTCCTGAAATGCAAGAAGTGGTTTCATCCATGCTGCCTACCGAGGACAGTGCAGTGCATTTGCTCTTTCCTCAGATGAGATCAGACAACAACTGGCCTGGATGAAAAGCATAAACATTAACCATAAATACTATGACAGTTGTGTGCCTGAGCTCTTGCATGTGCTCTGGCCTCATTAGTTTCTGACCTTATAAGTTTTTCATCAAAAAGCAGAATGGCTCTTGTTCTATAACTTATCCATTTGTCGTCATAAAATTGATCTCCGTGTACTTCCTTACATGGATGTCATTTAAGTACTCTTGACAATGCAATCTTACAGTTTGAAATTAGCAATAAAGGCATAATTTCTCTTTTGAGTTAAAAAAACTCAATGTGTTAGAATGTGTCAGTCATCATCAAAACTATTTTTACACCAAATTCCATATTTAAACATGGTAGTCCATTAAATATCTCACTCAATTGAACATATATATTAAGAGTATTTAGTTTTATAAGGCGTGGGAGAATCCTGTGAGCTGTGTTTGTCCTGCAGTTAGTAATGGATTATTAAGGCTTTCACCTCTAGATTATTGATTTATGTATGTAGAGGTCTGTGGTCATTATTGCCTATTGTCCTTTTGTTCAGGGTGTTCTTCAATTTCTAACACAATATGAGTGCGTCAGAAATGCAACTTCAGCTGTTATGCATTGCCCTTCTTTTTGAAAGTGTTAAGAGGATGTGATAACTAAACTGACAGAGCAAGTTAATTGCTCTCTTAATGAAAGTTTTGCTTTGTGCATGAAATATATCAGTTAGGGAATTCTAAAGGTAAAAGGAATTCTGCCATCCATGGTATTTTGAGTGTGTGTGTGCCCAAATCGTGTCTTCAAGCAGACACGTTTATGTGAGCTTTAGCTTTAGAAGGTAAAATCAGTTTAAAGCTGGAAATTCCTTTATTGCCTCCTCTCCAGTCAAATTAATGTGAAGAACTACAAAAGTGAGAATGCTTACAGATATTTAAGCATTGCCTTATTTAATTTTCAAACGTAAGTACAAATGTTCTTACCTGAAAAAGAGAAATAAATAGAGAAATTGAATTGATAAAAAAGTTATTCTGGTCCTAAAAGGTGACTAATATTTCATAAGGAGTGGTTAGTAATTTTCACTATTGGGCCATAGATAGCAGTATAGAACTACAAAATAATTCATTTTTTATTAGATGCAAATAAATTATCCGGTTTAATTTACTAAAGGGTAACTATTTATACTGTCTAAAATATGAAGCAACGTACAGATTTCTAGATATTTTTATTGTATTTGATGGGATTTGAATTTATTTTTCCTTTCAGGCTTATGAAGCTGCATTTATTTTCAGAATAAAACAGAAGCATATCCGGGCAAAAAACTACTTTTCTCAGATTCCAGGGATGTCATCATTTTTGCCTGGGAGTGACAATCAGGCTAATGCAAGTTCATAAAAAACCCATAATTCTTCGATGAAGTTTACAGAAGTTAAAGAAGTTCACTAAATTATTAATACCATTTCCTAGATTTTAAAGAAATACACATTTTCATCAATACTTTGATTGTATTACACTGCGCAAAATAAACTTCTGAGGATAAAATAATTTGATCTGGATCAGTTAATATAACTGCATCTCAAGTTTCGTAACCGCATTATTTAAAAAGTGAAATGTTATTAATGAGCTTTGTAAATTCTAAATTTTTAGAGCAATGATTCTTTTTCTGTGTATGCCTGCATTGCTTGGAACATTCTGTCTGTAGTGGAATATACCTGCTGGGCAAATTATTTTAATTCTTTGTCAGTCTTTAATTAGAAAAATAATACTGTAACATTGTATTAAATTTATTTTTCTCATCTTAAATGTGTAAGGCAGAAACCCCCTTTAATCTTGAATTTCAGCATGAAAACAGAATAATTATACTCTTGCAAATATGGCTGCTTTGCCTTGCCAACATCTGTGCAAAAGAATAATTTTTTAGCTCATCTGGATGGTCATAGTGGAACCACCAGCATGTAATTATTTTATGCAAGATCTTGAAATGGTTGTTAATCATACTTACAATTTGAAGTGCACAATGCAGACTGTCTGGAACATGCTTATTTTTGAGGAGCTTGTGTTATTTGAAGAACTAAATGTCCTCTGTAATTAAAAGTTTGTGTTTTTTTGATTATAGTTGCAGAGAAAAAATGTGATATGGTGTAAATTCAAAAAGTCCTACAGAAAGTTGCAAGGTTCTGCTTGAAACCTCTATTGTAGAGGTGGTTTTGACTCAGTCTTTTGCTCTGACAAATAAAAGTGTTTAGGAAAAAGCAGTAACATTTGCAAGCAGAAATGAGCATATATTTGGCAGCAAACAGCTGGAAACTGTATTAACTCGCTCAACAGCGCATGAACTGTAGAACCAGTACTGGACTGACCAGTACATTTTAACATCAGTGGAGCCTTTCTATTGATTTTACCATTAATTTCAGATTAATTCTCCTGCAGTTGGCTTTGACCCATTGATCCAGCCTGTACAAATCCATCTTCAGAGCCTTCCTACCCTCCAGCAGATCAGCACTCGCACCCAACTTGGTGTTGTCTGCAAACTGACTGAGGGTGCCCTCAATACCTCACCCAGATCATCAATAAAAACGTTAAATAGGACTGGCCACAGTGCTGAGCCTTGGGGAGCAGCACTTGTGACTGTCCACCGAGTGGCTCTAACTCCATTCATCACCAGCATTTGGTAGGTCCTAACAGCGGCAATGCCATTGAATCACACTTAGAAAGCTCTTGTGTAAATAGTTAAAATTTGTTTGTAATTATAGTGAATTGGATACTAATATTTGGGACATGGCTGTCCACAAAATAAGTGTCTACCTGTATCAAGTGAATATTACTGTCCTTCAAATCAGTTTCAAAAAATGGCATTTGAAAGCATAGAAATGGAAAGTTTTGAAGGATACAATGTATGGAAAGAGCGCTGATGCAAAACGGAAAATTATTTTCTTCAGATATCTGAGTTCTCTTGCTAGGGCAATGCCAAGTGAAGCCAATGTAACTACAATAGTATAGCTTTTGTAAAAATGCATCATAATTGAAATCACAAAAAAATCCTTAATGTTAGTTGTCTTTAATTGCTAATTTTGATAATTATAAATGCTTTATTTATTGTTACTGAATTTAAAACCAATGATTTTTTTACCACTCTTTGTCCATAGCATTTATAATTGTATTGCATTTGAAAAGGAATTAATTTAAAACTTTTCTCCAATAATTGTTGTATTGCTTCACCTGTTTATGTAGCTTATATATGATATTAAAATGGTACTGGACAAGTATGAGGAATGAAAGTATTCTCTGTATCAGACAGTAGAGAATACTGGGAAAGCTGACTGAAAAGGTCAGAGGCAGAGTAAAGATGCTACAGTTCTAGGAAAAGTCATTACGTTTTATCAGAAAAAGAAAACTGTTCAGATAAAGGGTCAGACCTGCCAATTTCTAATAGAACTGATTAAATTCTTTACAAGCACAGTTGATCATCTTTGCTTGAATTTCAGAGAGTTACTCACAAGGTGGTTTTGGGATCTGCTGGTAAAAAGGCCTCTGCTTTGCAGCATAGATACTTCTAGGATGATGAGAACAAATGACTGCCAAGTGTCAGTGCCTCTACAAAGGAGAAGAGACTGTGAGGTGAAATTCTAACCTTCTCCATTCACTTCTGATAAGTGGCTGAAGTGATAAGCTTATCAAGTCTCTTAAATTATAGTTTAGAAGTTGAACTCAGGAGAAATTCACAGTCCTGAAACCCTCCTGAAAGGCTGGTGAGAGATACTGTGTTAGATTCAGTTCTGTCCTGGACAAAGACTCTCCCTCCCAGGTAAAGGGGATTGGTCCATAAGACCTGTATTGCTCCTTCTGCACTAGAAGAGATATGAGGTCCATCAACACCTACTGTTTTCCTCACAGGACTCTTGTGAGCAAGGGTTTTGGAACATGGAGCAAAATTTGCCTTCAACCCACTTCCAACACCACTGGCAGTCCATTTCCAGATGGAAAAATGCTAGCTTTTTTCCCACAGGCACAAGTGAGAAATATGATAATTTGCAAGGAAACACATGCATTTTGCCTTCCCGCTCCAAGAGGAAAATCCATGCATTTTCCAGGATGTAAATCTCCCTATTTATGTCTCAAAGGAAGAAAAACTCAGATTGTTTCCCCCTCCTACTTCCCCTAAAAAGATGTTCCAATGAACAAAATATTAGCTGCCTTCTTAGATAATAGTTTATTGTAAACAGTGATAAAGCAGGATTATAAATTAAATATGTCAGGGTAGCACAAAGTTGCTGACTTAAATTTGGCATATAGAAAATAATTTTTCAATAGGAAATTATGCTAATAGTAACTGAGATTAAAAACAAAAAAACATCCAAATCTTGGATTCTTTTAAACATCATGGATTTTTTAAAGAGCCTAAATTTGAATACATGTATTCTCTGAGCTGAGAGAAGAAATTACTTAATATGCTGCTGTTGTATCATGTTAGCTCCCAAACTTACTGCTTAAGGATCAAATTTGCATGCAAAATGGATGGGACTTACTTTTGTCACCAGTGTATGCACAGTTATGATGGCTTATCTTGTACTCTCAGTTGTCCTTGTTACAACAGTCATCCCTTACAGTCTGACATACAGGACTTACCTTCATCATTCACACATCTTTTGGAATCCAAACTTTTGACATTAAGGAAAAGTGGGTTTAAGTCCCTGCTCACAGATAAAAGAGCCACTGTGATGTCATCTAATTTTAATTAAATGAACAAAAGTAATATTTTTAAAATATCTTTGCAATAGGTATATTTTTTCTTATTGTTTAGCAAAAAAACCCAAAAAACGAACAACCCTTTAAGAGTGCAAAAAAAAGGAGAAAATATAAGCAGATACATTTGTGAGGTAAATTTACCAAGGGAGCAAATTAAAATCCCACTCAATAGGTTCTCTTCATTGCTTTTTTTCAAAGCTTTATTCAATTCAGTTGTTCCTAAACTGTGGTTTGTGAACAAATACTAAAAAAGGAAGTCAGTTTGTTTTTGGTTAAGAGTTTGTTTGTAAGTAAGATGGTAATCTGAGAGAAAAAAATTAGTTTTGTTTCAACAAGTTTTAAGATTGTTTCTATAAGGTAGAATACAGACAGTATGCCCACCAACTGTGCATCTCACCTGTGTGTGCTGGAAGCATAAAACAGTGAAGAAAATCCAAAGCTCACTATGTGATGATGAGGCCCAGAGTGATTAAAGCTTATACAGAAATTGGAGGGAGGTCCTGTGGTTTGCGTTGCCATGGTGTTGGGGAGGAACAGGAAGCAGGGTAGAAACCACATGGTCTCGTTCTTCTACTTGTTGCCCAGATATATTTTGTTCAAACACAGTACACAGTTTTGGTCATGGCAGTATAAGAAAGACATTAAGCTGTTAGAGAGTGTCCAGAGGAGGACAATGAAGATGGTGAAGAGCTTTGAGGAATGGACAATGAAGATGGTGAAGAGCCCTATGAGGAGAGTCTGAGGTCACCTGGTCTGTTTAGCCTGGAGAAGAGGAGACTGTGGGGAGACCTCATTGCAGTTATTACTTCCTTGTGAGGGGAAGAGAAGGGACAGGCTCTGATCTCTTCTCTGTGGTGACCAGTGACAGGACCCGAGGGAATGACCTGAAGTTGTGTCAGGGGAGGTTTAGGCTGGATATTAGAAAAAGGTTCTTTACCCACAGGGTGATTGGGTCCTGAACAGGCTCCCAGGGGAAGGAAGTGGTCATAGTACCAAGCCTGACAGAGTTCAAGAATTGTTTAGACAATAGTCACATGGTGTGACTCTTGGGGAACAAACATGAGCTTGTTAAAGGGAAGAGGTAGGATTTCTAACGTATCTCCGAGGTGGAAAAAGAGGAAAAAGTGCAGTTAGAGAGATATATATTTTTTTTTTATCAACATGGAAAAGAAACATGTAGATATTTGTTGTATTGCTTCCCTCAAAATTATTACTTTTGTCACAGAAATTTGATTTCAGATTGAATTGATGAACAAATTGCCTTATACTAGACAACCGTACTATAACAGTATGCTTTGGGCTAGGATGAGTGGACTTAATTGATCCAGTTATGTGTGCTCAGATTCAGAAGTGCATGTCTTCTGACATCTGTTTGTGAATTCTTATACAATTTTCATTGTAGTTCCTTATTTTTCCCTTATCACAACTTGTTTTAAAAAACCTCAGAATTTCTTTTGTGTATGATCTCTAACATCCTATTCTGATGATGAAGTGCCCAGTGCCAAACATGTGTCAAGACTGCTGCTGCCTAATGTAGTCACGAGGTGTAGAAACAGCTCAGTGTTAGGCAGGCGCAAAAATGTGTGCCGGAGGAATTTGCTTCCTGGCATGGAGGAATTCTCTGTGACTATTTTGATCTTGCATGAGACTTGTGAAATACTGAAGTCATGTCAGTTTCTGAAGTGATTATAATTTGCCCCTGATTTTAGATATTTTTGATTTCTAGGATAGCATCCTCCATGCAAAAGATAGCTTAACAATTCCATATTTCAGTGGATACACTCTGAACATGCCATTTTCTCTCTCTCTCTTGCTTCTTGCTGGAATCTGCAACGGGTGGATTTGTTGCAGATTTCAAACCTGCCAACACCCAAATGTGTGACACCAGCTCTCAATACATGAGAAAGAACTAAGCTGAGGGACATGATAATATGTAACAGGGGAAGATGATAGAAGTTCTGCAGAATACATTCTGTGCAGTAGAGAAAACTTTGTATAAACTCCATTTTGAGTGGATAACTCTCTTATCAGCCTGTGTAGGA